AGGGCCCCTGATATGGCCGGGGCCTGAGTACTGGCTGGAATTCTTTAGAGGCCGGGAGGTGGCTCCTTGGTTGTTTTGCTGGGAGGGGTGGAGTGTGTGGGGGGAGGGGGAGAATGATCTTATCCCAAATCCAGCGACACCCTTCCCTGCCAGAATTCCCGAGTTCTAAGACTCCCAGAAAGTTTCCCCAACTCCCTTCCCCTCAACCCAGGGAGGGGATAGGGGTGCAGGCATCCAGCCAGGGGAGAGGTGAAGATTTGGAGTCCCCTGGTCCTCCCCCCAAAAAACTCGCCCCCTCCCGAACTGCTCATGGTTTGGGGGTCAGGTTTGGCAATTCTGAACAAGAGCCCAGATTAGAGGGAGCCACCTCCCTCCTCCATCTGAGAGCTGCGAGGGCGACTGGAAGTGAGTTAGAAGCTGGTGATGAGGTGGCCAAAGTGACATCACTAAGAGTAGGGGACAGGCTGTTAGGACCGGAAGGAGGAGTAGGCCGAAGGGTCTGGCCAAGGCCTGCTAGACTGGAGTCAAATCCACCCTCTCCCGGCCAAGAGCACCTCATTCTTGGAGATCAGGGCTGAAGGGGTGTCCAGGAGAAGTGACCACAGCCCCCGGGTGGGCAGGTGTGGACACAAGTCTGATGGAGTGTGTGCTGACACCCCGGCTCTGGGGCTCCACCCACGGCCCCCAAGGCCTGGCTTTGCCCTCGGGGAGACATCTACGCAGATCCTGGAGCCTTTGTTACTCGCCCTGACCCACATCCTCCCGTGGCCAGATTTGCTGGTAGATGAGGCTCAGTCCTTGTGCTCAGGAATGGGGGGCAACCAGAGCCCCTGAGGACTAGTGTGGGACTGCGCGTGCTGGGCTGCACCCTGCTGTGCTCTGTGCCCCAGAGTCTCCCCTCAGCTTCCCTGCCTGGAGTGAGATGCCCAGTACTGGCTGTGACAACCCCTTCTTTTGCATCCCACAGACACCTATCAGGCTCCACTTACGGGTCAGACACTATCCTGGGCACTGGAATAGCCCCAGCCCTGGCCCACTAAGTGGACCAGGTGGAGGTGGGCTTGTCATTGAGTGTAGGTGACAGGATGCAATGAGAGGGCTTCATGGAAGAGGCGGCCCAAAAAGAAAGGTTGGAAGATGGCCTCCCCTCCTGGGAGGCAGATGCTGATATTGCTGCTGTCTCATTTCTTTCCTGCTCCTTTACGGAAGTCTCTGGCACCATGCCCGGCCCAGATGTGGGGGGAAGGAGCCAGGGAGTTAGGGTGGGAGATGTGTTGCTCCCAGAGAGGGAGAGGTGCCCAGATTCCCACTGGGCTGGGTGCCTGCTCTGGGACAGGGTGGGGGGTGGTCCCAGCTGGCCCCCTAGTCCGGCCTTGCTGGCCTGCAGCACTCAGCCCCCCGCTACTAGCCTCAGTAGTGCCCAGAGCCCTGGAACCAGGAGGGAAACCAGAAATGGGGCAGTCTCAGAAGACATCCGAGCTTTTGACCAAACACCAATGAGTGCTGAGCCTGGGGAGTGCCCTCTGCCCTGGGGGGACTCCACATTCCAGCAGAGGAGGCAGAAAGGAGATCAAACTAGCAACCTCGGTAGCCTAGTCGCAGGGGTGCTGTGGCAGGCAGACGCCTGAAGGCCCCTCTGAGCTGAGGTGCAAGGTGCTCCCAGGGCCGAGGGAGGAGGGCAGGCATTCTAGGTGGAGGGGCCGCCTGCACAAGGCATGGAGCAACGTGGAAAGATCATGCATGACTGGAAGTGGGACTTAGAGTGCTGGGGTGGGGTTGGAGGAAATCCCAGGCACAAGTACTGGGCACTACCCCCATGGGCCAGCATGGAGAGCTGGAGGGTGGCATGAGTGTTTGCCAAAAGCCGGCCCCCATTGGGGATCAGATGCCTGTTGTGCCCCCCTTCTCTACACCCAATTCCCCAGTTCTCTGCCAGCTGCTCCCTAGGTGCCCCTTAGTGTCCAGGAAGTAGTTTGCCCAGCCAGCCTGGTTCTGGAGCAGCACCACCTTAGGGCAGGCCCTAGCCTCACTTCCCAGAGCTTGGCCACCAAGATCCTGTCTGACTTTGATGCTGTTGTTCCCAATAGCAAGGTCCTCGGCTCTCCCTGCCCCCTGCCCACGGCCCACGGCCAGCACGTGTAAAAATAGAAAACGCCATGAATTAGTAAGCACTGGCACTCCTCCTCCCCATCACAGACCTGTGGGTGCCTCTTTCCACTGAGACGGGGCTGCTGAGTCACAGATTTGATGTCCTGGGCGCCTGACCTTGAGACTCAGCCTCCGGCGAGAGCTCTGGTGTGACACTGAGATCGGGTGCCTGGACCCCAATTCTGTGGACACAGAGTTCCTGACATTCAGGCCCTGGAGCCTGTAAGCAGGACACCCGCAGCCCTGCCAGGTGGTAGATGGCCTCCCCTCACCCCCCCTTTATCTTGGTCTCTCCTTCCCTGTGCCTGTCCCCTGTCCCTTTCCTGCTCTGGAGTCTGTGGGGCCCCACCAGACCCCAATCAGTGAGCGCAGTGGGATTTCAGCATTTCTTTTCAGATACCCCCGTCTCATGGCCATGACCTCTCAGGCTTCCGGGGCGTTGCTCCTGGGCAGCACCTCAGCTGATTTGGGGGAAACCACTGAAGCCGCTGCAGGAGACCCAGAAACCCGGGGTCCAGGCCGGGGAAGTGCCAGGCGGCTCTGTCCCGTCCCTGGCTTGGTCCAGTGGTCCGGTTGTGGCTGGCTGCTCATTCCTCTGGCTTAGCCAGCTCCTGCTTTCTCCCACTCCCAGGCTTCCCGCCCTGGAGCCCTCCGTTAGCTGTTGCCCTTCCCCGGCACTGGCTCCACTCAGTCCCTGGCCCTGCACCTTCTAGACCAGCGGTTCTCAACCTTCCGAATGCCGCGACCCTTTAATACAGTTCCTCATATTGTGGTGACCCCCCAACCGTAAAATTATATTCATTGCTACTTCATAACTGTAATTTTGCTACTGTTATGAATCGTAATGTAAATATCTGATATGCTATATGTGTTTTCTGATGATCGCAACCCACAGGTTGAGAACCGCTGTTCTGGACCTTTCTCAAGATCCCTCCTGGCAGCTGGGACCAGCTGAGCTTGCATTATGATTCCGTTTCCCTGTGATAGTCCCTGAGGTTCTCCCCACCCCCAAGAGCTCCTATTGTTCCCTCTTCCCCATTCCTGAGTCACTAGGGGCCCAGGTCACAGTCACTGCCTTCCAGGGCCAGTCCCTGGTCTATAGTGTGACTTCAGATGCTCACCTGGGAGGACGAGCAGAGAGGGCCGCGTTCATGACCATTCCTCACCCCCTCTGGGCACTGGGACTCTGCAGGGGGTCTACGCAGGCCTCCCGCAGAGCCTGTCCCCCCACACCAGGCGACATCAGCAGCAATGGCCTCTTTACAGACTGCCTGGCAGTTCCCAAGGGAGGCCCTGGGGGTGGTCTTGCTGGGCTCCCGACTTGCCACTGAGCACGCAGCAGGGCAGGGCTGCAGTTTCACAGCCCTGACGTCCAGCCTCTCGCTTTGTAGACTTGCCCAACTTACAGCTGATACCTTCCTACCAGTGTCCTCACGCCCACTGGGTTCCTGTCAGGCAGCTAGTGTTTCCTGGCATCGTCGTAGGAGGTTAATGAATGGCTCAAGGCTAATGGTGCTGCGCTGAGATTTGTCTGAGCGAGTATTTTGTCTAAAGGCGGGGAAGGTGTTTAGGAGAGCGGCTTGTTTGTCCAGGCTGAGCCGATGTCATTGCAGCCTTGCTCCAGGATCGCGGCTTTGCATTCCTCAACCAGGGACTCCTCTGGGTGACATCTGGGCACAGCCCCCACCCCCCTCACCTGGCCTAGGTCCAGCCTGGGGGCTGCATGCTGCCTGTTTTAAACCTGTCTTAAAATCTCACCTCTGTGTGGGAACAGACTCCAGGTTTGTTCCTAGTGGACGGCTAGGACTTTGGTCCAGGCCTGGTGGCTGGTCAGAGTCCCCTCTGGCTTTCTGAGGTGAGGTCAGTCCTCCCCCAGCTGCTGAAAGAAAGCCCAGGCTCTGCTCTCAAATGCCCACTCGGAGTCACTGCTCTCTGGGGCTCTCCGAGAGGGAACCCCCACCCGCCCTGGCTTGTTGGGTGTAAGGGAGTAGCCCGCTGAACCCACTGTATTTCTTTATTATTATTATTTTTAATATATTTTTAATTAATTTCAGAGAGGAAGAGAGAGAAACATCAATGATAAGAGGGAATCATTGATTGGCTGCCTCTTGCACGTCCCCTACTGGGGATCGAGCCCACAACCCAGGCATATGCCTTTGACAGGAATCTAACCCAGGACCCTCCAGTCTGCAGGCCAGCGTTCTATCCACTGAGCCAAACAGGCTAGGGCACCCATTGTATTTCTTAAACTTGCCAGGAGGGAGTATAGAGGCCTTCCATCCTTTAGCAGTGGTTCTCAACCTTCTGGCCCTTTAAATACAGTTCCTCATGTTGTGACCCAACCATAAAATTATTTTCGTTGCTACTTCATAACTGTAATGTTGCTACTGTTATGAATCATAATGTAAATATCTGATATGCAGGGTGGTCTTAGGCGACCCCTGTGAAAGGGTCATTTGACCGCCAAAGGGGTCGCGACCCACAGGTTGAGAACCATTGCTCTAGAGGCCCTAGACTAGAACCACCACTGTCTGGAAAGTACCCAGCTCGATCCCGGGACCAAATCCCTTCGGCCCTGTCAGAGCTGCCTTCACGCCTCTGGTTGGGATTTATACCATTGGCCTAGACCCGTGGTCGGCAAACTGCGGCTCGCGAGCCACATGCGGCTCTTTGGCCCTTGAGTGTGGCTCTTCCACAAAAATCCGATTTCTGCTCATGGGCCACGAAGCTTCAATCGCACCGTATGTGCGCGCCCGCACATGGTATTTTGTGGAAGAGCCACACTCAAGGGCCAAAGAGCCGCATGTGGCTCGCGAGCCGCAGTTTGCCGACCACTGGGACTGAGGGCCTCATCATGGGACAAGGATCCAGCTTTCCTGGATGGCATTTTGGCAGAACAGATCAAATAGGCTCCTCCCCTTCCCCACCACACAGCCCCCTAAAACCAGGCCAGGTCCCCTCCCAGCTTCTGACAGGTGTTCATGTACCTCGGGCTGGGATGGGGAGGGGAGGTTCCAGTCCTGCAGACACAAGGATCAGCGCTGTGGGGGGAGCAGGGCGGCTTGTTTCCCAGGGAAAGGAGGTTTCAGAGAGGGGCACGCGCCACTGGGACCACATGCTACCGACTGGGACCAGGAGACCTGAGTTCTGCTTTCAACGTGGCTACAACCCAGCTGGGGACCTGGGCAAGTCCTTCTTCCCTGTCTGGCCTGACACCCATAGAATAAGGATGTTACGCCAAAGGGCTCTGAAGCCTCAACCAAACGCTAAAACGCAGCGAGCCCCTCTGCCCCGCCACCTCTCAGTGGGCAGCCCATCAGTGGGCTCCCAGTCCCCTCCCAGCCCAACTCCAAGGCTGCCCATTGCCAGCCGCCCGCCGGCCCCGGACGAGCTCTCCCTTATTATCATCCAAGTCACTTTGCCCCTGGGTCTCATCACACTCTCCACTTGCACCTGCTCGGTGCCAGGTACTGATCTAGGTCCTGGGGATATCAGAGAAGGAGCAGGCAAAACCCCTGCCCTGTGAGCTGATAGGCAGGAGAGGCGAACAAGGTAAGTGAGCAAGCTGTTTGGTGCGTTAGGTGGTGATCTGTGCTAAGGAGAAAAAGCTAAGTGGGGAGGGAGTGCGGGAAAGGGGAGGGTGCCGTTTAAAATCAATAGTCGGGAGAAGTCCCCTGGAGAAGGTGACACTGAAGCACAGACTTGAAGGCAGACAGGGATGAGCCCTGGGGGGTGTGGGGCGAGGAAATTCCAGGCAGAAGCAACAGCCAGTGCAAAGGCTTCGCTCCCGGCCTGCATCCCCTCCCAAGTGGGGGCTCCCCCAGTCAGCCCGTGTCCTGGTCGCCTTGGGGTCCCCGAGGCCCAGCTCAGAATGAATGCTCAGAACATGAATGGGGGTCCTCTGGCTTCTTTCTCACACTGCTCGTCCCTTCTCCCGCCCTCCGCCCCTCCCTCCAGACTTGCACTTGGCCGCTGAGCTGGGGAAGACGCTGCTGGAGAGGAACAAGGAGCTGGAGGCGTCGCTGCAGCACATGTACGCCACCAACGAGGAGCAGGTGCAGGAGATCGAGGTGAGGCCCGCCCTGCAGCACCCGGGCAGCCCTCGTGCACTGTCTCCGCCCCCAAAGCACACCTGTTCCTAGAAGTGGGAGGAGAGCCCAGGCGGAGACGTTCTCCCGAACCCTGTCCTGAAAGGCCACTCACCCACCACCCCTGCCGACCCCCAGTACCTGACCAAACAGCTGGACACACTGCGCCACGTGAACGAGCAGCACGCCAAGGTGTACGAGCAGCTGGACCTGACAGCCCGAGACCTGGAGCTGACCAACCAGAAGCTGGTGCTGGAGAGTAAGGCTGCGCAGCAGAAGATCCACGGGTGAGGGCCGGGTGGGGGATCGTGGGGAGGAGGGGCGGCGAGGACTGGGAGTGCTGTGGGCATAGGGACCCAGGGGTGTGACACCTGCTCCTTCTCCCAGAAGCCCGGGCTGGGGACCTGGGATGGTAGTGAGTTTGCCTGAGGAGGGCTGGCCCCTCCCCTTAAAGTTCTCCCCTGCGTGTCTCCCCCCGCCCCCCCAGGCTGACGGAGACTGTTGAGCGCCTGCAGGCCCAGGTGGAGGAGCTGCAGGCCCAGGTGGAGCAGCTTCGGGGCCTGGAGCAGCTGAGAGTGCGCCGGGAGAAGCGGGAGCGCAGGCGCACCATCCACACCTTCCCCTGCCTCAAGGAGCTGTGCACCAGCAGCCCCCGGTAGGTGAGGGCGGCACTCGTGTCTGAGCGCCCAGGATGCCAGCCAACAGGAGAGCAGGGAGAGGGTGGGCAAGGAGAGCTGGTGCATCGTCCGGGTTATTGGCGAGACTGGTCCCGTTGCTGACAATAGTCAGCAGCTGGCGTTCACTGAGCCCTGGCCATGAACCCATGACCCTGCTAAGCAGCTTAATGGCCATGGCAGTACCAGGAGGTGTTTTATCATCTTCGCTGCTCAGATGAGGAAACTGAACCCACAGGTTAGGTGTCCTTCCCAGGTCACCTGGTAGTAAGCCAGGAGGGGTTAGCCACTACACCTCAGTTCCCATTAACCTCAAGGAGATGACTGGTTAATGTAATACATGCGCTGTATTTAGAGGGCATTTCAGTAAGGGTCCTGGCAAACGATAGTGCCTCTCACAGAGTAACTGAGGGGCGACTGCTAAAGAGGTGTGGACCAGGCATAGGAGCAGGGGAGGGGGCGGACACTGTAGCTAGGGCCTAGGCCCAAAGGGGCCAGGGCAGGGAGGTTCCTGGAACCTGGAAGGCCTGGAGGGTGCTGCCTGGCCTGCACTGACCAGGAAGGAGCCTAGGGAAGACATTCCCACCACTTCGGCCACTCCCACTCCCGCCCTCCGGCCAGCCCATCCCTCCCATGAGCTGAGCTCAGGAGAGCCAGGTAACCTGGCTGAAGCAGCCCCTTGAGGTCAGAGGGAGAAGAGCCAGAGCGGATCTAGAGGGACAAGCAGAATATGCAGCTCAGTGGACCAGAAAGATATAAGTGTCCGGGGCTGGGCTCCCGGGCCTTGCCCATGACCAAGGCCCCTGCCCGCCTGCCCCCCTGCCCCCCTCTCTCTCCCAGGTGCAACGATGCCTTCCGCCTGCACAGCTCCTCCCTGGAGCTGGGCCCCCGGCCCCTGGAGCAAGAGAATGAGAACCTGCAGACGCTGGTGGGAGTGCTGCGCTCCCAGGTGAGCCAGGAGCGGCAGCGCAAGGAGCGGGCGGAGCGCGAGTTCGCGTCGGTGCTGCAGGAGTACTCGGAGCTGGAGCAGCAGCTGAGCGAGATGGAGGGCTGCCGCCTCCGCGTGCAGGAGCTGGAGGCCGAGCTGCTGGAGCTGCAGCAGATGAAACAGGCCAAGACCTACCTGCTGGGCCGGGAGGACCACCTGGCCGAGGCCCTGCTGGCCCCCCTCACCCAGGCCCCGGAGGCCGATGACCCCCAGCCAGGCAGCGGGGACGAGTTCGGGGCCCAGGACGGCGTCTCCTCCCCGGGCCCCTCCCCCAGCCACGCCGTGCGCAAGAGCTGCAGCGACACGGCGCTCAACGCCATCGTGGCCAAAGACCCCGCCGGCCGGCACGCGGGCAACCTCACGCTGCACGCCAACAGCGTGCGCCGGCGGGGCATGTCCATCCTGCGCGAGGTGGACGAGCAGTACCACGCGCTGCTCGAGAAGTACGAGGAGCTGCTGAGCAAGTGCCGGCAGCACCGCGCGGGCGTGCGGCACGCGGGCGTGCAGACCTCGCGGCCCATCTCCCGGGACAGCTCGTGGAGGGACCTGGGGGGCAGCGAGGAGGGCCAGGGCGCGGCCAAGGCGGGCGCCAAGAGCCTGAGCCAGCACGTGGAGGCCGTGGACAAGCGGCTGGAGCAGAGCCAGCCCGAGTACAAGGCGCTCTTCAAGGAGGTCTTCTTGAGGATCCAGAAGACCAAGGCCGACATCAACGCCACCAAGGTCAAGACCCACAGCAGCAAGTGACCCTACGCCGGCCTGCAGCCTCCCCGCGGCGGGCCATGGGCCCCTCGAGCCCGGGCCCGCTGCCTCTGGTGAGGGAGGGCGCCTTTTGGCAGCAATACATCCCCGTGGAGGCCGCTCCAGAGAGCTCGCGGGGCGGGGGGCACCGCTGCTGCCCGCAGGTGTGGGGGCGATCCGCATGTCAACATGCCTGGCCTCCCAGAGCCCTCCACCGTCCTGTGTCAGCCCAAGGCACAGCTCTGAGTTTCAAAGCCAAACGTCCCCCCTTCCCTGGGGGTTCCCAGTCCCCCAGCTTTCTGACCCTAGATTCGTGGCCAGGCTTCTAAGCCATCTGGACCAGTTGTTGTTTTGTTTTGCCCCAAAGTTTGGGGTTTTTTGAGAGATTTGCAATGTAAGGTCCCCCTGACCCCTTGCCACAACTGGAAACACTTGAAGGGGGACCCCAGAGCCCGCTGTGGCCGGTTCCTGGGGTCTCCTTGACCACCCACTGCTTCTCCCCAGCTGTGACACTGTCATTCCCTTAGCACCAGCTGTCCCACCCCTAGGGTCCTACCCAGGTCAGAGATGGCCCTGCCGTGCAGAGCAGAGAGCCTCAGCCTGCCCGCCCCACTCCAGCCCTAGTGAGGTGGCCTTCTCCCTGGAGACCCTCAGCCCCCTGCAGATCTGTAGCCAATCAGAGGAGGGGAACAGAACCCCTCGCAGCCATACACGAGCGGTGCACCATTTCCCTCAGAGCCAGCCTCCTGGGGTTCCAGCCCCGGAAATGCCTCTGGGCATTAAGCCTTGTAGGGGTCTGGGCGGTGGGGAGCCCCCATCTCTGCACCCCGCCTGCAACTCCTTGAGTTTGGCCTCTGCCTGCCCCACCTCAGGGACCATAACGTGTCTCATTCACTCCCATGCTCCCCAGAGCTGACCCCACAGCAGTCACACCTGCTCCCCCAGAATGTCCTGGGCACGTGCAACAGCCAGTGGTCCCAGCGTCCACCTCTGCACCCTTTCACCCAAGACTCGCCCCACACTGACCGGTTTTGAAATGCGACCCGGATGGAGAACAGGTCTCCTTCCCATAGAAAGCCTGCTCTTAACCTCCTGCCCATGTGGGGGCCTTGAGGACCCAGGAGTCAGAGGTTAATCATCTTTGGTCAGGGCTTTAGAAAGTCCAGCTGCAACTAAGAGACGCCAAGGTCCCCAGCTTGACCTGAGCCCCTCTTCAAGGCTTCCCATCTCTGCCGTCCAACCTGAGACCCAAGAAATCGGAGGAGCCAGACAGCCCAGTGAAGGCGGTGGCCCGGCCTCCGCTGGGAGCCCAGCGGGAACCTTCATGCCTTACTTGTTTCTAGGGGCACAGGGGTCTGACACCCGCCCGACCTCCCCCGAGGCGCCACCTGCTCTCTGGGCCGCACTGTACTGAGCTGTCGGCCATCCTCTGGCCACACACCTTGGAGCCCTTTGTCCTCTGGAGCTGGGCAGCTCCCAGCCCTCCACGTGTAGGTCATCTAGTGGGGAGGGGTGGGTGCGCGGGGGTGGGGGAAGGGCTCCTGCCTGTTTGTTCCCCAGTTCTGTAGCAGCCCACCAGCATCACCTTTGAAGTATACATGAGAGAAATATATTTGCAAATGCTTTATTCTCTTCTTTAATAAAAAATGCACCAGTATTCTAAAAGCAGAAATGGCCCGACCCCTGTGCTGTCTGTCTGTGTGTCTCACACACCTGCCTCCATCACTTAGCTTTGGGGAGAGAGGGCTTCCTGAACCCCATGCCCGCACGACTGGCAGCCTGGGAGCTCTGATAGGCGGCCTCGGAAGCTGCGTGCTCACTGAGTGCCAGCTGTGCGGGCCACGTTGCCGGGCAGGGCACCCCATGCTGGGTGCACCTTCCCTGTTGGACAGATTTTGCAGCTCCCAAGCCACACCTGCCAACAGCTTCGACTTCAGAAACCAAAGCAAAGGCTCCTGGATCTTTGGGGGCTCAGTTTCTCACTGCCTTTGCCACATTTCAGTTCCACATGGAAAATTCTGCGGGCTCTGTGAGTCCCAATCCCACGGGGAAACGCTCCCATAACCTTCCCCCGGAGGTCAGCTCGGGGAGCTCCCACTGCACCCCTTCCCTTCCTGAAGGGGCCAGGGGCAACCTCCCTTGGGCCCTGGAGGTGAGGACGGTGTGGTGTGGGGAGTCCACAATAGGCCCCAAATTGGTGTGACTGCTTTTTAACCCAACTGCCCAGCATGCAAAGGCTGTAGGTTTTCCTGTCTCTGTGACCTGCCCCCAGTGGGGTGAGAGCACCTTGTGGGTGAGACACCAGAGCAGTTGCACGTGAGGAGCAAAGGAAGTGGTGACTTCTACCCAGCCACCCATCCGTCGCCTTCAAATTCCCCTCTGGAAATATTTCTCCTGCCTCTTCTTCCTTCCCGTCACCATTTGATCCTTACTGGGCCTCCTCCCCAGGGTTTCCCTCCTCCCAGACTGACAACCTTCCCCGAGACCAAACCCTGTGGTAAAAGGAACTGGTCCCCCTTCCCATGATCCCAGGAAACAGACCTGCCTGCCTGCCCTGCACACCGAGCTGAAAGCCTCGCGGTGTTCGCAGGCAACTAGGCAGAGAAGGAAGCGGCTTCCAGGAAGGGGCAGCTTTGCCCACCATGCCAGGCGCATGCTCAGTGCTGCCTGCCCAGCCCCTCAGGGGAGAAGGGAAGGTGTGGAATACAGCTAGTCAGGCTGGACTTCCCACCCCAGTGCTGCAGGGGAAAAAAGATAAAAGCCATCAGTTCTCCAAAGTAAAAGGAAGTTCCTTCAAAAAACCTGTACACACTTAGCATGCCTTAGTAGCAGCTAATTCTTGTTTCTTTTTTTAATATATTTTATTGATTTTTTACAGAGAGGAAAGGAGGGGGATAGAGAGTCAGAAACATCGCTGAGAGAGAAACGTCTATCAGCCACCTCCTGCACATCCCCCACCGGGATGTGCCCGCAACCCAGGTACATGTTCTTGACCGGAATCGAACCTGGGACCTTTCAGTCCGCAGGCCGACGCTCTATCCACTGAGCCAACCGGTTTCGGCAGCAGATAATTCTTGTTGCCTGCTGACAGGCAGCTATAAAATCTCTGTTTTTACTGAAGGGGATCCTGAGGTTTAGAGTTTAAGTTAGTAGTTCAAAGTCACATAGAAATATTTGAGCCCAGACCTGACCCAATCCCACTATGTAATACTGAGCATTCCCTATTTCCATGTAATGTTGAGGGGTTTAAATATATATATATATTGATTTCAGAGAGGAAGAGAGAAACATCGATCAGAGAAAAACATTGATCGGCTACCTCCTGCACGCCCCCAAACTGGGGATCCAGCCCGCAACCACTTGGGCTAATGTTGAGTTTTAAGAGCCAATTTGGGTGATACCCCAACTCACAGGCAATAGAGAAGGGCGGGTGCCTGAAGCCATCAGCCTCTGGAGGACCAAGGAGGGAAGGCTGGCTGGCTCCGCCTTCAGTGCCCACCTTTTAGAGAACAGGTGGCACCTCTCACCTGCTCTTCCCACAAGGGCCTCTATTCTGGATGGTTCACCGCAGCACCACGGGAAAGGAGCCTGGCAGCTGCTCTCTCCATCCCAGGGTAACGTCTCATTCTCTCCCCGCCTCCTCCCCCAGAATCCAGGGCACCAGATGGCCCGAGCAGGCTGTGTTTATTTGGGGTTGTGGAAATCTGCAGCTTCCTTTTCCTATCCTTCTGGGTCAGGCACAGGGCTGGAGTCCAGCCGCAGAGCAATGCCACAGAACGGTGCTGACTTTGTTATTCATAATCCCAGAGCCTGGACCTGGCTCTGCTCCCCTGAGAAGCTTATTGCAGTCACCATGGAGACGCCTCTGTTCCCTCTGAGGTCTTGGGACTAAGACAGGGAGGGATCCAGGAGACTCCCCTTCCAACCTGGAGCCCAAAAGGCACATGCGATTGCCATCCTCTTCCTCTTTTGGGTTAACAAAGCGAGTGCTTGGGGGAGGAGGGGGGGGGGGTCAGTTTATTCCCTCCTAAAGACTTGGCCTGTATCAGTAAAGCTAAGATGGTAAAATCTTGATTTGATGACGATCTCCTGTTTGAAACAGCCAACATCCCCAGGGACATATTTTTCTAGGTAATTATGCTTTTCCTAAAAATAGCACTCATTAAGAAACAACCACTAATATGACTAATAATCACTAACATTCATTTGGCTCTGTTTTCACTTACCACACTGCCTCTCAACAAAGTAACTCAGCCAACATTTAGCTGTTTCCAAACACTGCTTGCTCTACTTTGAACCTTTCTTGGAATTAGAACTCAATATTGGAGTTCATGCTTTAACAGCCCCGTAAAAGGGTCCTGCTTAGCCTGCCTGGCTGTCTGAATCTCTACCTACCTCCTCAGCCTCCCTTTATCCCCTGGCTGGGAGAAACTGCCACCACACTCCACAAAACTGCAGGTTCCCCCACAAAGGCCGTGGGGCGGGCGTGGTCCACTTTTTACAACCCTTCCTTCTCCACCTGCCTGCCTCTCCCCATCTGGTATTTGTGCTTCCAGCTTTCACACGTGCTCCGCGGGTTCCTGCTTCCGGGCTGCCTGGGAACGAGCCTGGCGTTACTAAAACTCAGCTCCAGCGGAAATCAGCTCACACACACATTCCGAGGAACCCGTCCTCGCCATGCTTACTGAGCGCCTGGCATGTGCCGGGCGCCGGGCGCCGGAGCTCCAGCAGTGAGCCAGTGCTCCCTGGAGCTTTCGGGCTGGGGGACAGGCAGTAAACTAGAAAAAGAAGTCAAGCAGGGTAAAAGGGGATGGAGATGAAGTAGGTCAGACAGGCAGGCCTCACAGGTGCGGGGAGAGCGGCCCAGGACGGGACAGACTCTGAAAGGGAGGTGGTGTTTCTGGGGAACACGGATCTGAGGCTTCTTTCGCCACGAGGCTCCCCTTAAAAGCTCTGTCTGGCCAACGTCTTCCCTACCGCCAAGCCCCGAGAGGCAGCTCTAACAGGCGCCGCGGGAGAGCCACGCCAGGAGCCCTGCTTGCCGCCTCCCCGCCCCACCCCCCCCGCCCCAGCTCCCCCCCCCCCGAGGGCGCTAAAAGTCGCGCGGAACCAAAGTCCAGCGGGAAACACGACCTAGCCGACCGCGGAGGGGAGCGCCCTCCGGAAGCAGCCCGGAGACTCGAACATGGCGGCCGCCCGGTGCCTGCGCTGGGGCCTGAGCCGAGCCAGGGCCTGGCTGCCCCCGCCGCCCCCGCACTGCCCCCGCCGGGATCTGCACAAGCAGGTAGTCGGCACCGAATTCCAGAGCATCTACAGCCTGGACAAGCTCTACCCGGAGTCGCGGGGCTCGGACACCGCGTGGAGGGTCCCGGTGAGCCGGGTGGGCCAGACGGAAGGGGCGTGTCCGCCGCTGCTGGGTGACGTCAGAAAGCCGGGGCCCTATTGGCCGTGCGCGCCGTTGATCGAAGGGACCGCAGCGGAAGGGAGCTGGTTGCCCGGGCAACCGAGAGGGGCCGCGGGGAGGCCGTCGTGTCCCGGTGCGGGGAGAGCGCGCAGGATGTGCTACTTACAAGAGCACCCGCTTTTCCTCGTTAGTTCCCCCACCTGCAGGCCCAGATTCTTGTCCCAGGGAAACTGGGCGATCTGGCCCTGCAGAGTGGACAGTAATGGCAGGAGGCTGACCAGGTGTTTGCTCCCTTCTGGAGTCTTTTGGGAAGTTACACTGTCCTTAGCCTCTAGCAACCCCAGCACCCCTAGGAAACTGGGGTGCATGTCGCAGCAGCCCGCTGTGTGCAGGCTCCGGACCGGTCCGGGCCGAGAGAGAGGACCCCGCCAATTCTGTTGGGTTTCCACCTACAGGACAGGAAGAGAACGTTCGCTGATTGATTCACTCATTCAGCCGACTTCTGCTGAGAGCAAGCTTCGTGCACGGCGCCAGGCACGGGGAATGAGTAGTAAACAAAACACAAAGGCCCTCATGTTTGTGGGGCTTGAATTGTAATGGAGGGAGACCGCAGTAGGTGAAATAAGTGCAGAGTATGTGAGGTGGTGCTTTCCTCTGGAGAAACTAAAGCCTGGAAGAGGAGAGCTCCGGTAGGGGGCGGTGTTGCAGTTGTCAGTAGGATGGTCTGGGAAGGCCCCTGAGAAGGTGACATCTGAGTGAGGACCTGGAAGAGGCAAGGGGGTGACCCAGAGAATAGAGGGGAGACGGGCATCCCTGTGGAGCGAACAGCAGGGGTAGCCACCTTAAAGCAGTCAGCATGCCCTGCTTGTTCAAGGAACAGCACGCAGGCCAGCATGGGGACCTATGGAGGATTTGAGGCAGAGGAGTGGGGTGATCCCTCCGAGGAGCGAGACTTCCGATGGTGCCGGACACTAGCTGAGGTCCGGGGCAGGGAAGGCCGGAGACGAGTCAGTTCTGTTTTCCTGGAGGAGAGTTTCTGAGGTGGTGCCTCCTGTGCCTGGGGAAGCTGTTCTGTCCTCTGCTGTGATTTGCCTGGGAACCTGAAAGTAGTTGTATTCCATGCGTGCTGTGGCTTTCCATCATTTCTTTGGTTGCCCTGGCCCAGTTAGGAGGCACCCAGCAGGTGATGTGTATTTGACGCGGTGTGCATTACATTACAGGATGATGCGAAGCAAGCCAACAGTGACATTCCTCTAGGTGAGTAATTT